CTTCACATGAAAGATTTAGAGCTCTGAATCAGCTTTCCAAATCTTCAAGCGGTTTGTCATTCAGAGTTTGGAGCAGAGAGTTATGATCTTCTTATTAGAGGTGCTCAGAACTGCCTGGCAGCAATGAGTTTCTGCCTTGCTCTTCAATTTCGACCAACCAGACTTGAGAATTGGATCTTTACCAAAACATAAAGTTTTTAGATCTCTGAATCAGCTTTCCAAATCTTCAAACAATTCATCATTCAGAGTTCGGAGCACAAAGTTATGGCCATTTTATCAAAGTAGGTCCGGGCAAAGCAAAGCAAAGCAAGCATGGAGCAATCTGCTCCATTTTCGAGTGCTCGAGGCCCTATTTCGAGTGCTCGAAATTCAAGCAGATTGCACTTCAGAAATGGCTCATTTCAGCCACTTGTGCATTGGGTTCCTCATTTCTACTTACCTTCTTTATGGAGTGGTTGGAAATGTTTTTGGAGGGAGGAGAGAGAGCCTTGGTTGGGGTCTTGATCTAGATAAGAGGGAAGCAAAGCCACACACATATCCTATCCTTCATTTTTAGAGGAGGGGAGGAGAGAGAAGAGAGCAAAGAGGGTGGTGTTCTTGAGTGCTACAGTAGGAGCTCGAAAATGGAGATGGAGGCTTCTTTTTCTTCCATTTTTGTATCCATGGATAACTAAACCTCCATCTAGGGAGGTGATGAAACTCCTCCTTGTAAGCATGTCTAGTTTTTGATATATTTTGGGGAATGAAATGTGTATTTGACTAGTTCCATAATCTAGAGCATGTTACATAATGTAATGGATGTTTTAATGTTCTAAAGATCATGTTGTATTAAATACTCTTGTCTTAGATGATTTAATCTCATGGTTGTATGGCTTGTTGTTTCATAGTGACAATGGAGCTAAGACAATGGAATGATTTTAATGGCATGATTTTGAGTGGCTTGTTAATTCATTGCTTAAGAATTTCTTTTGATGGATTAACCTTGTGACTTGTTATCATGTGCTCTCATCAATTGATTACTTGTTTGACAATCTCTAGCTTAGTGAGCATGTTGAGGATTGCACCATAGTTTAGGTAATTTAAGCATGTGGAGCTTTGATAGGTCGTTCTTACATTTTAATTAATTGAATTTCTTGAAGATGTTATAGTAGTCATGAATTGCTATTCATCAAGATCATTTCTACATTAATTTCCCAAATCAATCATATAATTAGCTTGTGTAGAGGTTTGGAGTGGATTCACTTCCCTAGACTTCCTTCTCTAAATCTTCTCTTTTAATCTCCTTCAATTTATTGTTTTATGCATTCTGAATTTGTAGTTTAGTGACAAACAAAGCAAACCCTCTATGAACACCCCTTATCACTCTAAAATGACTCTAGACACTTAGGTTGCCATAGATTTGCGCAGTCCCAGTGGTTCGACTTACCCGACCAATAGCCCTATTTTACAATGATTCGTACTATTGCGAAGGTTGATATGTAATTGACCAACCGATCAAGGCCCAGACCTCCAATAAAAGGATCAAGCAATTCTATGCTTCTATATATACTGTTCTTGTTTTTTTTTATTGTTTATTGAGTGAGTTGTTTTATTTCTCTTAATCATTATTGGTTGGGCGAAATTTTGCACCTACAGACTTCAAATGAGGTTTCCCCAATTAAGTTATCTCTAAATTAAATAGAGACAAAATTTAGTTTATTTTTATAAAAATATTTTTTGTTCTTAAAAAAAATAGTTTGAAAACATTTGTCAAATTGTCAATAAACATTTTCTCAAAAAGGGAGTTAAGAAGGGTTCCAATTTTAAATGACATTTTTTTTTTTATAATTGTCTAAAAATTGTTTTGTTTTTCCCAGTAATATTCTTGAAATTTGTTGTAAAATGACTAAACAAAACAAATCCAAGTTTCTAATGTCCCATTGATGTTCCGGTAAGCTTAATTCAGTCAGGGTGATTCATTTTTTTTTTTTTTTTGGTTAAAAAACATTAATAGTATTTAAGAAGCTAGGTTTTCCCACTATTATTTGATTTGTGCAATATACAGAAACTTCAAATGAGTTTTCTCCAGTTAAGTTGTCTCTTAAATTAAATAGAGTCAAAATTTAGTTCATTTTTATAAAAATATTGTTTCGCACAATCGTTCTTGTGTTGCTCTTATGCTTTGAGCTCGCTCTCGCTTTCACGCTTCATGCGTTTTCACTCCTATTTTTACTCTATGCGACTTCAATTGTGCCACTATCGCGCTACCACTTTTACTTTACGTGACTTAATCAATAAGGGTTTGCCTTTAGTTCGTGGATCAATTTCTTGGTTACTTAAATATGAAAGGAAATGATCCTTGTAACATCATTCAATTTTGCACCGAGAGACGCCGAGAATGGGTAGTCAATTTAATCTCTGTGTTGTTCATTGGACACTTCATATCAATATTCTGTTAAGGACTTAAATATCTACGATAATGATATTCTCTAACTTTCATCTTTAATCATCACAATATATATATATATATATATATATATATATATATATATATATATATATATATTGTTCTTTCTACATTTAGTTTTTGGAAATCATAAATATGAAGACACGTCTGTTTAAGCCACACAATTATCATATATTTATGACAAAAGTGTAAAAATTATCCTGAAGTTTTATAAGTGAGCAGAATACTTCATGTGGTATAAAAATGAGCAAGTCAGTCCTTCTCATTTTAAAAGTGAATAATTTGTCCCCTTTCATTTTACTTCCAACCACTTTCTTACCATATTGTGCTGCACATAATTGATATTTTTTTATTAATTCCGAAAGTACCCTCCAACCGTTATACCCCATCTTCCTAGAAAAAGGCTTTTGCATTCATTTGTTCCAATCAAACTTATTTTTGTTCTCTCCTTTCCATTTACATCTACTCTCTATACTCTCCTTCAGTCCCTCCAATGTCAATTCATTTAAACATTTATATACCCCTCAATTATTGTTGGACAATATATATATATATATATATATATATATATATGTTCATGTGCATTTATTTCACTTTTGTCTTTTCTAGCTACTAGAAGAGTTTTGAGAATTAGACTATGTCAAATGGTTTGTAATGTAATACAATATCGCTGAGGATATAGTACAACTATGAAAGGTACGTAGTCAAAACCCCTCTTATATATGATTTGAAATCTGGGATTGTAAATCTATTTTTGGCCTCAAAGCCTTCCTCATTTCTCGCCTTAAAATAGCTTTCAAGGATTTTATTTGCTTGAAACTTCGATAAGTTGCTAGTTGTTTTGTGCTCTAAATGATTTTTTATTTTTTTGCTCTCTACTGAACTAGGCCATGAATGCAAATGAGGAAGTGTTACAAAAATAATAATAATAATAATAAATTAAAATACAGATGAGGGAAAAGTTAATGAATACGGGTTCTCCAATTCTAAAAAAAAAAAAAAAAAAAAAAAAAAAAAAAAAAAAAAAAAAAAAAAAAAAAACCCATTCGGCCCGCGTCATATAAATTAACCAGGCAGAGACGCACATGAGGAGTTACAACACTTAAGTCAATTTAGAGCCATGTAATACCTCACTTTATTATAAAGGGAATTTAAGATATTTTGCCTTTTATTATTTTTTTTATTAAAAAAAGTTAATTATAGGGGGTAGTGTGGTAAATACACAATAACATCGAGTGGAAAATGGTTGGAGGCGAAATGTAAAGGGGCAAGTTGCTTACTTTTGAAACTAAGAGAACTAACTTGCTCACTTTTATACAACATGGGATAGTGTGCTTACTTGGTGAAACTTCAGGGGTTTTTTGCACTCTTGCCTATATTTATTTTGTTTAATCTAATTGTTAATTGATTTTTTGTTTGGACAACTTAACTAAAATTAGTTCAAGCTACAAATACAAAAACAAGTTGACTCAGGTTGCTAAAACTTCTTTTTACTGCGCTATAATCCCTATGTTATTAGCTACAGTAATATGATTAGCCAAATGATCAAAGTATTGCCTTGGTGTTTTTGTTTTTACCTGGTAGTGTAGTGGGGACCAGTGAAGAAAACTTGTTTGGCAAAAATTATTTTGTTTTGTACCGTATTAAAACGTTTAGTAAATAATGACAAAAAATTAAAACACTAATTTAATATTTTTATATATTTTCGTACCGTATCATTTGATAATATAGCAATGAACAATAATCTTTTTTGGAAAAAAAATATCTTAAATAATAATTTTAAACCAACCATTAGTTAACATAAATTTCACATCCCGGTTAGTTGTTCATGAGGGATGCCACTAAGAATCTTTTGACATGTGTGATCTGTGGTGGGGTCCCCATCCACAGCTGGGGAAAGAATGGATACCTCCTAATATCTTTTGCGTTCATGATGAAAAAGATATTGATAAATACTTGCAAATAAACAAATGCTTTTCTTTTTTTAAATAGTTTGAAAATATGTGTCGAATTTTCAATAAGCATTTTCTCGAAAACCGAGTTAAGAAGGGTTCTAAATTTAAATGACTTTTTTTTTTTTTTACGTCTAAAAACTGTTTTGTTTTTCCTAGTAATATTCTTGAAATTTGTTGTAAAATGACTAACAAAACAAATCAGAGTTTCTAATGCCGGATACCCTTGTGAAATTTTTTTTTGCTCGACATCAAATTTGTATAAGTAAAATATAATTTTAATTTTTGGAAAGAAAAAATACACTAATAAATTAAGTTACACAATCCTTTTAATCGAGTGTTGCTCTTATGTTCTAAGTGCGCTCCCGCTCTCATACTTCGCGCACTTTTACTCCTATTTCCACTCTATGTGACTTAAATTTTGTCACTTCCATGCTCCCACTCTCTTTTTATATAACTTAACTAATAAAGCGTTATAAAGCATTTCCCAATGATTCATCGATCAATTTCTCCATCGATCATCATCTCCGCTTCAACATAGTTGTTGGGGAAAAGTTTGGGATTGTTTGGCCCCACCTAAGATTAAATATTTTTTGTGGCAGTGTGTTCATGGAGACCTTCCTACAAAAGTGGCGCTGAAGAAACGAGGTCTAAGCCTTGATGATGGGTGCTCTTGCTGTAATGAGGAGCCTGAATCTGTAGAGCATCATATTTTGGTATGTCCTTTCTCTTTGCAAGTGTGGAAACTTTCTCCTTTACGTTTGGATTTTGCATCCTAGCCAATATCAAATTTTGCGGAGTGGTGGGTATCGGTGTGTAAGAAAGGGGAGGATGCAGCATGTTTGGTGGCGTTTTATGCATGGGCTATTTGGAAAGCCAGGAATAGTTTTGTGTTTGACAAGGTTATGCTTTGTCTGAATAAGGTTAGTAAGATGGTGACTGCAGCTTTTTGGGAGTTTAAAGATGCTAATTCAGACATCCTGGATCAGCATTTTTCTTCCTCTGCACGGAATGTGTCAAATTGTTGTTCCTGGAATCCCCCTCCTGTGGGTGCTTTAAAGTGTAATATAGATGCCGCCTTTAGGAAAAACCGGTGTTTAGCTGGTGGTGGGGTGGTTTTCCGTGACCATAATGGTGTATTGAAGGAAGTTGTGATTCTTAAACACTTTAAGGCTTGCTCGGCCCTCATGGCAGAGGCGTTTGTATTACGGGCTGCTATTCTCTGGGCTATGCGCTTTCACTTTCGTAATCTTCTTTTTGAGAGTGATTCTGCTATTTTGTGTGCTACAGTGCTTGGGACACAACCTTGTCCAGTTGAAATTGATACAATTATGTATGACATACAAACTGCTTTGAAGGGGCTCATCTTGCTCATGTTCGTCGAGAAGCAAATGTTTTAGCTCATGAGGCTGTCAAGCTCTCAAAACCTCATGTGATTGAGGATCAAGTGCTTTAGTTCTATCCATTCCAATTATTGGAGTGTGCTTTCAGCGATAGGTTATCTTTGTCTTTGTAGTTGGTTTGGTTGTTTGCAGTGTTTGCCTTGGTAAAAAACAAAAAATGAAAGGAAATGACTCTTGTAACATTATTCAATTACATTTCATATCAATATTATGTTATGGACTTAAAATATCTCCCTTAATGACATTCTCTAACTTTCATCTTTAATTATTTTTTTCCTGTATTTAAGCTTCTTTAAACTATTTTTTGTTTAATGAAAATCACAATATATATATATATTGTACTTTCTACTTCTATTTTATAGAAATCATAAATATGAAGACGCATGCTTTAAGCTGCACAGTTATCATATATTTATTTTGTTTAATCTAATTATTAATTAATTTTTGATTTGGACAACTTAACTAAAATTAGTTCAAGGTACTAGTACAAAAATAAGTTTCATTCATTAATTTTAATTCAGGTTGCTAAAACTTCTTATTGCACTATTATCCTCTGTTATTAGCTGCAATAATATGATTAGCCAAATGATCAAAGTACTACCTTGGTGTTTTTGTTTTTGTCCGTATACTGTAACAGTGAGCAGTGAATAAAATATTTTTGATAAAAATTGTTTTGTTTTGCATAGTTTTGAAAGGTGACAAAAAATTAAAACACCAATTTAATATTTTTATATATTTTCATGAGGGGTGCTAAACACAGTCGCGGGTGCGACTGTTAAATCTCAGTCGCAATTTTAATTATTGACGCATGTATTTTCTTTCCCGATAATAAATTACTATTTTTCTACTAACTTCCTTTTGGAGCTCTCATTATGTATAATTATTATACCAGCCTTTTATTCTTAAAAAGAAACCGAGAAATTATTTGCGAAAATTCTCTCTTTATTCCATCTCACTCTAAAATTTTTTTTTTTTACAAAAGTCCATATCTAAATGTTTGAAGTTCAATTCTAAAATTTTCCTATATTCGAAGTATTGCTCTGATTTTTCAAATTAAAAAATATAAAAAAATAAAATAAAATAAATCAGGTAAAAAAATACTATAATCTGGTTCTCTTTCTAAAATTTCTTTTTTTGAAGTTAAATGTTTGAAATTCAAATATGATTTTTTTCAGATCCATATTCTCTGTTTTGAAGTATTAGGTTGTTTTTCAGATAAAAAAAAATCAAATGAAAAAAAACTATAATTTGGTTTTCTTGCATTCGTCCTTTTCTCTCTCTAAAAAAACAAGTTTTCAGCTTCGATTCTCTTCAGATCTGATTTTTTCAGATTCATACTCTCTGTATTCAATATATAGCTCTGGATGAAACCGTGAATGATTTCTAAGTTTCTCTCTACGGATGAGAGACTAGTATAGTAATTATACATACTGAGAGCCCTAAAAGGAAGTTAGAGATAAATAGTAATTAATTATCAAAAAAAAAAATGATTCTACAGTTTCAGGCGCGACTATGTTTAGCACCCCTCTATTTTCATAAGGTAACATTTGATAATGTAGCAATAAAAATAATTTAAAAAAAAAAAGTAAATTACACTCAGATCCCCTGATGTTAAACTATTTATCAATTAAATTAACATTTTAGTTTTAAATTACACTTATATTTGAATTAATCGTTTAACATTTCATTTAAACTTCAAATATCAATTTTTGGTGAGTTATAGTACTTTTAATGTGTTAAATAACTATGTTACCCTTTTACCTCCCATTACTTATTTTTTTAACCAAAATACCCTCACCATACACCTTTCCTCTTCTACCTCCTCCTCGTACCATCATCACCACCTCCCACTACCAGAACTCTTATCTCCGCCACAACCTGCCACCACCAGAACCCCATGTTTACTGGTATAAGAAATACTTCACTGATCTAATATATATCAAACATTCAAAACAAACTGGGTTTGTTTGGAATGTTTTGTATAGATTATATATATATATATATATATATATATATATATATCAATATATAGATATATCTATGTGTATTTGTAATTATTCATTTCTTTAACATATTTTTTTGGAAATTGAAGCTGATAAAGGACATCCTCAACTCACCCATCAATCCCGCACAGTACTAGTGGATGACGGCGAGGCAAGTTGATGACAAAATAGGCCCACCTACCTGAACTGAAGCGGCTCAAGACTCTGTGCCTCTGGCGGAAGTGGAACGACAGCGAGTGGAGTCTGTTTTTGTGGTTAAATTGGTTTTTTGATGGGTTAGATTTCAGTGATGAGTAATCCATATATTTTTTAATGTTTTTGTGTTAGATTTCAAGGGTTGGAGGACGAAATCCGCATCGGAGGAAGAGAGACCGCACAGAGGAGAAGAGGAGGTTGGATAAAACTCAAAATTATAGAGGGGCTTTTGTGTCATTTGATATTAAAAATATTTTGTACGTTAATATTTAGAAATTTGAGAGTATTCGCATCTATTTGAGATCAAAAAGTAAATTAAGACTTAAATGAAAATTTGAAACAAAAGTTAAAAAATTTTTAACTAACTAAAAAATAACCTAATCATAAGAGGTATATGCGTAATTTACCCTATATATATATATATATCTCTCTCTCTCTTAAATGATAAGTTTAAGCTAACCATTAATTAACATAAATTTCACATCCCGTTTAGTTGTCAATGAATTAGATGGCAAATTTGTGGATAATTTTCATTAGGGATACCAATAAGAATATGTTCACGTGTGTGAACCCTGGTGGGTCCCTCCCACGGCTAGGGGAAGAATGGAAGATTGGGTACCTTTTAGAATCTTTTGAGTGCATGATGAGCAAGATGTGGATAAATATTTACAAAAAAAAAAATGCTTATACTTCAAAAGTATTTGAAAGAGGCTCTATCCGTATTTGATGATGTGAGAAGTCAGTTATATTATAAAAGAAATTAATAATAAAATACATTTAATTTGATAATTAATGATAACCAATTAATTATAGTGTCTATACCTTTTAGGTGAATCAAAACATTTATTGAGTTGGAGAGTGATAGATGCTGGTTGGTGTATGTGTATTTATTAATGGTGTAGATTTAATAATCTCTCTCCTTCATCTCATAGATATAGAATTTGTAAGAAAATCTTTTATGAATTAGGGTATGAAAAATGAATAAAAGATTTTTTATAAAATATATATATATATATATACTAGATGATGACAAACTAATATATAATAATAATTAAGAAATTTATTATAGAGAAATATCAAATTTAATCCAAATATAAACACATAAGGTTAGTTTAAAAGCTCACAATTATTTAATAATTAAATTTGTTAAGTGAAGCGAGCAGGAAAGACTTATCAAGAATTTACTTTCAAAATACATCTCTCAAAACATTTTAATGGCCTTACTTATTCATTTTATCACATGCATTATATGAATTAAAAATGTAATTATTATATTAGGATCTCACAAAATTTTATATGATTTGAATTTCATCATTTGATCGATATACTCGAATCTAATACCAATAGCAATCTTGATTTAATGACTATAATAATAATTAGAATTGAAGTCGAATGATGAATTACCTCCCCTTTATTATGGAAATCAAATAAAATTGTATGATTAATTAAGGCAATATATGAAGTTTAAAGTTTGTTACTAGCTCACCACCTATGTGGACATATGGTCTTTAAATTCAATTATAAGGGCAAAAGGGACATATTCAAAGTTTGTCACTGGCCCTGACTCCCCCTTCTCCCCATCATAAAAGTTGTTGTTGTTGGGAAGGAAGGAGAGGAATTGGACGTCCGACCTACCCCAAAGTTGGTTTACCGAAGTACTCCGTAATTGGAGTATATATATATATATATATATATATATGTGTGCGCAGAAAGTAGTCAACTCCAATAAAACAAGTGTGAGTAATAAGGTTTGGCATACGATACGAAACCAACTTGTAGTGTCACAATAATGTTTGTATGTAATTCTATTGAAGACTGAAGTCCTCAACTTTTGCATAAGCAGTTGTAATTCTATCTCAGCACCATGAACCGAAATATATATATATATATATATATAATACCTGGCTTACTTGGTCAGAGGTCCCGAATGCCATTGTAGGGCAAATTATAGAATAAATAATTTGAGACTTCAATTATTCATACTAATCAAAGGACTTCAGTAATTCAACCCTTAAAATTCTAATAAAAATTTTCTAACACTTAAAATTCAAATTCATTAAATAAAATCTAAACTTGACGTAGTGGTCACTGGAGCAAGTATAATTCTAAAATGTTTGTATTATAGAGGGGAGACATGTGAGATGGTTGTGTAGTGGCCTTTTAAACGGGACTGATCCGATCCGAATAAGAGGAGAGTAAGTTTGACTCGATTCGATTTATAACACGACCTGTTAATTAAAAATGAATTTATATTTGATTTGCTATCGAATATTCAATATAATAACTAGATCCAAAATTCAATCAATAACCAAATCCAAATATATATATATATATATATATATATATTTTGTTTTAAAAAATCAACAGCAAAAGAGAATGGTAAACAAAGACCAGGGAAAAAAACAGATACAAGCGAAAGAAGAAAAATAATATATAAACAACAAAAGAGAAGAAAACTAGGTATTTGACTTTTTATAAAAGAAAAAAAATAATAAAGAGAGACAAAATAGAAAAGATGGGAGAAGAAGGAAAAAATAATGCTAAACAATATTTTAATAATATATAAATATTATATATTATATTATTTTGGATCGAATTATTATTGGACGAGATCAATCAAAATTCATATTCAAATTACTAACAATTATTATCGAACAAGATTAATCATAATTCATATTTGTTTAGTTAAGGCCTTAACAAATTATCATATTCGAATTACTAACAATTATTATTATTTTACTTTACATCAGAGTTCATCATCTATCCTAAGCATTATAGGTGAGTGTTCTGACTTCTTGA